AGATCTATGCCGTCATCATCGGCGCGTTCCTTCCCGTGCCCTTCTGGCTGTGGCAGCGCCGGTACCCGACGAGCTGGGTGAGGTATTTGTCGACGCCCGTGATCCTCAACGGCTTGCTGTTCATACCCCCCGCGACGGGCATCAACTACTCGGCGTGGTTCGCGATGGGCCTCGTGTTCCAGTATCTGATCAGGAAGAGGAATTTCGCGTGGTGGAGCAAGTTCAACTACGTGACGAGCGCGGCGCTGGACAGCGGGACGAGCATCAGTTTGATCTTGATCTTCTTCGTGCTTCAGGTGCGTCGTCGTTCCTTCTTTCCCTTTTCTGGGCAGGAATCGGGGGAGCTGACGGGCGATTACGATTCGCAGTTCCCGAAGAACGGAGAGATCATCGACAAGACCGTATGGTGGGGTAACGATATATTCCAGAAGAGTACGTGCATGATCTTTGACGCGTTGACCTCGTACCTACGCCGACCTCTTTCTTTCAGACGCGGACTGGAACAAAACACCATTCCGAGCAGTGCCTCCCGGTGGCGTGCCCTCATAACGACAGCCCCCCTCGTATATCTATTCGTCCTCGACCTTGTTCTCGTCTGTGCTTGGGTCATCGCGCACTGTCTGTCCTCCATCTTCCTCTACCTCTTCCTCGGCCTGTTCGCGCACACGCACACGCACCCTCCTTGACTGTTATATCCCTCTCACGCCCGATATCTCCTTTATCTCCTCCCTCCGCGGCTCCTCGTACTCGTGGCTGTGTCCTTCTACGTCTTTATACTCCATCTAGACCGGCTTTTTTCGACGTTCTTTTCTATTTTCCTCTCGACACATCGTCTCCTTTTCCTGTTTCGCGCGAGCGAGCGTATAAGGAAGGGGCGGGGGACGCACCATCATCAGGACTCACTACTCCTACCACCCCCGGCGCCGAGACGAGGAAAATTGCCGTCGTCCCGCGCCAGGCAGGACGTATCGTCGTCGTCGACGGCTCCCCTACCTTCCTTCCTGTTTCGCATGCCTCACGCGCGTATCCCCGCTCCGCGGATGCGTGGTATGCGGTGATTTCCATTGTTTATCGGGCTGTCGTTGGTGTCTCTACGAGAGCGAGCAAGCATGCCAAGTTTTTTTGGTTTTTAGTGGGTCGAAGTAGGGATCGGCCTGGGCAAGGCCGTAGTAAGAAGGGAAGAAGGGCAGCGGACAGTATCGAATAGTTCACCAAAAAATGTGTTTTTCTTTCTTCTTTCTTTTGTCCCTCTCGTTGTTGACCGGTTCGGTCAGAGCCCCGCTCCTCCACCTTTGTATGTTACTTAGTATCTTAGCGAGTTTGGAGATGTAATGCTTGAGTAGGAAGTCGAAGAAAAACGTCTTTGTGCAACTTCGACAGGTCGGGTGTTGTTGACCCGTGGTTTCTTTCGTTCGGACACGTTTACGACGGTCCGTTGATGATTCCAACTTCGAATTCGTTCATTCGTTGGGCAACATCTTTCCGATGGCAGAAGACTTGAGCGCTCCATTACAGACGAAATTCGGATCTAGACATAGAGCCGAGCAACATGAAGCACCGACAACAGGAGACGAGCGAGACCAAAGTATGGAGTTTCGGCATCATACTGTCGGATGAGGGCAAGACGACTCGACGGGTCGACGGGTCGGCAGTAAAATGCTATGCGCCTCCCGCTTATGGAGCTTTCAGGTATCAGGATGTCCTGGATGTCTCCGCCCATCGCAGCCACCTCGGGGTGATTGATCAAGCTCTATATATTGCACAGTTCTGGAGGCAACAAAGTAGAGCAACATAGAGCCCTGCCCAGGGCATGAAAACACAACGTTCACTCTGAAAGCACATCATATTAATCGATGTCGAATTCCGGAAGCAACGGCCTGAGCTCATCCAAGGGAATGTACTTCTTTCCCAAGCCATCCGCAGCATGCAGCACGTACACGGGGTCGAAGTCTTCAGTAGTAGTAAGGCAGGCGGCAATCGTGTACGTTGTCGTCTCGATCACGACCTGCTGACCCACAACGGATTGAAGTCGAGCAAGAGCCGATTGACCAGGTAAGGGTGCGGTGCCCTGGTGGAAATTATGAGGACCCCAATTCGGGCCCATGACTTCCCTGCAGCTGGAGAGACAAGACGAGAGTGGAATCCAATCGGAGAAGCACAACATAGCGAAGGGGTACTAACAGCGAATCATTAGCTTCCAGTTCCACTTCGTTTGCGAAGTTGTCGCCTTTTGCGGCCGGGATTTCCCATTCGATGAGGAACTCGATGGCACGCTGCGACGCGAATATGACATCTACGTGACTGATTTATAATGTTAGAGTCGGACCCGGAAGTGGGGAGAAAAACAATCTCACTCTTCCATACAGGTAGGCTTCCGGTCGAGGATCCCATAGACCAACTCGAAAAAGCGAAACCTGAATGGACCGAGGTCTCCAGGCATTGGAAGTAGCACTGGGTACTTGGCATTCCTCTCGTCCGCCTGCCACTTCGCAATGACCGCGTCGTACTGGACGGTCATGGTGGCCGCGTTGTAGTTGTGGGAGTTCTGCATGCCGGTGCAGCCATTGGCCATGCGCTTATAAAAGTTGTAGACAATCTTGACCAAGTCGTCCCTGGAGATCTGGTTGATGGGAAGGTGATACCACTGCCGCTTGTCCGATTGCATCTTGGTGTGAGGAAGAGTGAGACGTGTTGGCAGTGAGTGTACCTGAGTAATGCGCAACGGGGGGCAGCCAACCTCTGTCACGTCTGTGGCGTGCGATGAATTCGCGACGACGAGGTTCTTGTTTCATGTATTCACTGCCAGCGTAGCTCCCTCTCCCCATACCAAGATGCAATCCGACAACCTACCTTGGTACCACCTCCCTATAGACTTGATCTCCAGGGATACCTGGGTTCAAATCGTTCACGAATTCTATACGCGTATGGGCAATGGCTGCATTGGTATGCAGAACTCCCGCGACTACGACGTGGACACCAGGGACACTCGCTATGACGCAGTTATTGCGAAGTGGAAGGCAGACCAAAAGAACGACCGGTGGCCATCCATGCTTCCAATTGCTGGGCAACCCTCGCAATTCAGGATTGATTTTTTCAACCTGATCTATGCGATACTCAATCGGAGGCCTACCTGTATGGAAGAGTGAGTTTGATTCTCTTCTCGCTCTCAGGTTCAACTCTTACGTTGTGATTAGTCATGTAGATGTGATATTTGCGTCACAGCGCGCCATTGAGTTTATTATACAATGGGAACTCCCGGCCCTCAGAGGAAAGACATTTGCAAACAAAGTGGGACTGGATGCCAATAATCGGTAGTCAGTACCCTTCTGTCTTCTGTTACTCCCGAAGGCCTGTTCTACTCCTTCTCGTCCCTCTAGCTGTAGGGACGTTTGCGGTCCAGACTGGGGTCCTGAAAAGGATTATACGCCACCCTTACCTGGGCAATCAGCTCTCGCTCGACTGAAACTCGCTGTTTGGGCACCATGTTCTGATTGAGGGGGTCACGTATGAGGTAGTCGCCTGCCATACCGCCACTGAAGATTTTGATCCCGTGTACGAGCTGCATGCCACAGTTGGCAAGGATAGGCTCAGGAAATATCTTCCCTTGGACGAGCTCAAGGATTTGCTTCCAAACATCGACCTCGCTTGATAGCTTGTCACGCAGCATGTTATTCATGTCCGATTTCCCGGTGCTCTTTGTTGCTCGTCTCCATTGTGCAGACTCGTGATGTGTGCGGAGCCCCTTATGTCGATCTCATATCATGTATGCAATCGATACTGTCGTCTTGATCATTCGGTGGCGGCGGATACGTTAGCGGCTGAAATTGTATATCGTATGCTAAATTTTGTGACAAAAGCCCTTCTCGCTCGGGGTTCCGGGAGATCTGTGTTTCACAGCGTGATCGCGAGAAGGAGAGGGTTTGGTGATTGCCATCGTCTGTGCCAGGGTTTCGACCTGAACGTGCACAAAACGGTGTTTTGAACTCCGAGCTGGACAGCACAACGATCCCGACATTTGTTAACGCCCAACACATCCAACGGCGTCAAGTACAATCCTCGATTTCCCCCCCATGGACGTATCGTACAGCATCCTCCCGGCAGAACATACTGCTTTACTCAAGACGTGCCAGACTATCTCAGTTTAGGCGGCCGTCTGTGTAAATATGGAATTAGCGATCAAGGTATGGCTCTTCCAGCCCTTGTCGCCTTGGCCGCTTCGCTCTGGGCCTCGTCACGCAGGTATCGAGCATAGATTTCCGCATAATGCTCCTTGTCCTGCGATGATCACTTCGTCAAACCGTGGACCTGGACCAACGGGCCGCGAGCGGGACTTACACTTTGGGTCTTGAGGACGGTTTCCCTCGTCTCCAGGAAGTTTGCGTACTCCTCCCAGCCTTCGCCCACGGACTGCCTGCTGAACCCCCGGTTTTCGATAAGGATATAGTCCCGTACGATCCAGGGCGCAATGGCGACGTCCACAAGGCTGAACTGCTCGCCGAGGAAGTACGGGCCTTTGACCTTCTGCGCCAGTTTGCGCAGCTCGCCCACGAGTTCCTCTCGGTTCTCCTTCTGCTTCTGGGGATCTTGGGCCTGGATTGTGCGGAACCAGGCGGGGAGGATCGACTTGGAGATGTGGTCGAGCTCGAGACGGACGAGGGCGCGCTTGAAGGGGTCTTCTGGGAGGAGATGGGGCTCGTGTTGCGGGTATGCTTCCTCTAAAAATTCGCAAAGCACGAGTGACTCGTACAGAGCTTGGCCTTTGTATTCGATCGCAGGGACGAGACCCTTAGGGTTGATATCTGCAACGCCCACATGAGCACGATATCTACTGTGTCAAGAGATGCCCGAATACCAAGGAAATGTTTCTCCTTCTTGTACGGGTTGACCTCCTTATATTGGTACGGGATATTTTTCTCCTCGAGGGTGATCCAAGTCCTCTGTACAAACGGGCAGAACTGGTTCGATGTTCAGTATCACCGCGAGTCATTTGGCCGTAGAGCACGATGTGATGTATACCCAACCCGCGTAGAACACCAAGTCTTGCGGATCCTAGTGTGCCTCCACCGTCTTCAGAGCTAAACCCGTCGCATGGGGAAAGATTTTCTCATCGGGTGTCCCCATGCTGGTCGTCAGATGGCACTTAATGCGAACAAAGCGGGACCTATGTTAACTGTTGGTGTGCACGATGCCCATCTTATACAACGCTGTTATGTTATGTGGGACCAGCTCTTAGTCAGGCTCATGCACTGTGCAGTGGCGTCATCGTCGACCGGGTCGTCGGTCTTTAAATTTCTCCGCTCGAACGAATTACCCCTTGACTCAGCAGCAGCGCTGAGCGAGACCCGGGCGAACAGATTGGGATACAAACATAATCTTTGCCTGCATTCCAGATGCAAATGTCTTTAGATGATGTACGAATGGCATCAAGGGAAGCGAAAATGCATCATTATGATCTAACATATACTGTACTTCGAGCTGCGTAGTAGCCGTTTACGTGCGTGTAACCCGTTCCAAGTTATAACTCAGGCTCTAGAAAGATGCTAATGAGCATGCGAAGTTGTGTGGGCAACCTTCAGCAGCGCGTACTTACCGGAAGATTGACTTGAGCTTGTCAATGCCCTCCTTGACATCATTCTCCGCGCTGCCGTCCGCTATGCTGTGGATCAAGCCCGGAAGGAGGGCACCTGCCGCTTCAGCGATCTGGACTGCCTGCCTCTCGGTCAGAACGTGGCGCCGCCGTGTGCTAACCACGCCAGATGCCGCGGAGCTGGTTTGCAGGGTCGCATCCTGGATATCCTCGGGAGCGGACGCCTGCTGGTCGTCGGTTTGATCATCGGTGGCTGCCGGTGTAGAGCTCTGAACTGAAAGAGATGATGATACGGTCGGGGACGGGATGGGGTCGACGCTAACAGGCGGCACGCCCGGACTCGGAGGAGTCAAATTGGGAATCTCGAGCCCCGGGCCCAAGGGAAGTCCAAAGGGTAACTTGATTCCTGGACCCAGGAGGAGAGCTCTAGGCAATGGGCCAATGGGGTGCACCTGCCTACTCCTCAACACACTCGCAGTTGCTGATGTCGCAGCGGCACTACTCTGGTCATCGCTGGAGGAGCCAGCGAAATGGTTGAAGACGTCGTCGCCGAGATGAACGATTTCTGGTACGGCTTTGATAAGCGACGGGGCCACGTCCTTGACTACGTCCTCTCCGAGGTTAAACAGGCTTGGACTGCGAACTCCAACCATCCGTCTGGATGCGGACGCTGCAGCTGTGGGGTCGGCGCTGACGGCCGGCTGCGTCTGACTGGAGTCGTCGGATGAACCGAAGAAATGGTGGAAGACGTCCTCGCCCAGGTTGAGGATCTCGGGGCCTGCTTCCTCGCCTACTTTGAGTGCAATGCCGGCAAGCCCAGGTGAACGCGCTTGTGCCTGGGACCTGCTCAGCACATCAGCAAATGCTCGAGTCGGAGAACTGATTCACGAACTTAGGGATCGGAGCTGCAGAGACAGAGATGACTGCCACCACGACAAAGGCGATAAGGGCCGAAGTACGCATGTTGAACGATGATATAAGATGGATGTAGAAAATATATAGGGCGTGAAGTAAGAAGATAGGTGGCTGGAGATTTTGTCAGGGGTAACGCCGTTTTCAAGGATCGAGGCGACTCACCAAACCAGTGCCTGAGCGAGCTCAAAGAACGAATGCGAAGGAGAGCCAGGAGCTGCAGAACCGCCGACATGTCTCAACAGATTTTATACAAAACTGAACGCAGTCATGCTGGCGGAATGTAGGCTCAGGACACACGGCGTACGCAGGATCTTCAGCGACCTGCTCTGTCCAAAACGTTAAGAACAGCTTCCACCGTACGATGAAGCGATACGAGCAGGTAAGGAGTGGGTCCATATTGGATGGTGGCGCCATCGCAGCGCTCCGCTATCACTCGACGCTCCCTGGGATAACCGAACGTGTCAGGCATGAGGCGGCACGATGCTCATAGCGGCGAGGGAAGCGACTTCGGCGACCATAGTGGGTGGGACACCCATGTCTTTCAAGTTGTATTCGAGTTGTATGTTGATAGCCCTGTCCGCTTTCAGGACGCGCGTGGATCTGCATCATGACTGCATGGTTAGTGATAGTAGCGCAGCGCGCATCACATCGCTGCGAACGTACTTGGGACGGCACTCGATGCCACTGATGACCCATGCCAATCGCAGGCAGTTTTTGTCATGAGTGCAGTCGCCCGTTACGATGAATTGCTTCTTCAAACCAGCATAAAGTTAGCGTAGCTGAGTGCCCCCTCTGAGATAGGGAGTCGAAGGCTGAGTCTCGATGGGTAGACTGCGTGTCTAAGCAGTCCGTGTCACAGGCAGTCCGCGTGAATTGATGATGGCCAAGTCTGGAGCTCGGACATGCTGGATTGTCGTTTTGGACTTGCATAAGGCCATAGCGTACATGTTTCAGAGTAGTGGACGTTTTCTGAGAAGAGCCTTGGTAACCTAGTGCGGACGGAAATTCTAATGCAGTGGTAGGTGAAGGATCGGAAGAGGAGATGCGTGCGGGGTTGCCTCATATGGACCGGGCGCGTCGGCGAATTTCAATCCTGGAAATGAATAGCCCCATATTCCTCGTTGCATATTGCAGCGTAAGTCATCATGAATTTCATCGTGCTACTTGCCTGAGTGATGTCCTACCGTCAGTGGAGAAAAAAAACTAACGCCGCCAATATGAGCTGCTCGATTTGATGGAGCCGACGAGGTAATTAGTCCGAAGTCGATATATAGGTTTCCATGAAAATGCCGCATCTCTGGACTCAGCAACGTAGAAGGCTCGACTCCTCGCGGAATATCATACAAATTATATTGGTTATTGTACAGTGCAGGTCGTCATTATTGCATCAAGCAGATTCTTGCGGGCCGTTTTCATTGTCGGAGGAGTAAGAGAGTTTAGGGATGCAAAGGAACGCCGCCGATATGAACTCGGGCATAGCGGCCAAGGGATACCAGAGTGCTTCATTGCGCAGCGCGCCTCGATGGTGCAAGGTTGCGACGTAAAAAACTTGGCGAATGAAGAGGAACACAGCCATGACGAAGAGGAGGAAGAAGGGCCATGCCGACGCGGTGTGTTCAGGAACGGGTTCCCGGTCCTGGTTGTTGTCGCCTGTCAATGCTGATGATAGTTCAGGAGAAGGTCGACGAGGAGAGATAGCAGGTTTGCATACTGTTTGCCGTCATCGATATGCATAGTAACAGGGCCTGGAAGCCGAGGACGATACTCAGTCCCAACCCGAGGTATAGACTGCACTGCTGCAATTGGCGAGCGAGGCCAACAGATCTACGTTTGTGATCGAGTTGCTCTTCGCACTGGCCGACGACGCTCATCACAAACAGGCCGACGAGGGCGATCCGCGCTACTCCGCGATTGAACGAGACGCCATCAACGATCTTCCGCTCTATCTCCGTCGGGAGATTTTGTTTGTCCATTTCTCTGGTTCCGTGTACGTCAGTACGCTTGCCGCGTATACAGCACTAATCCGTGCTCACCTCAGCGTAACCGCTTCGTAAGCAGCATCGAGGAGAAACGCGAAGCCGGAATCGAAAAGGATATTGACCATGAGAACAAGTGTCGTGTTTTGGCCCGCGCCATCCGATGCCGTCTCTACAGAACGCAGAACGTATGCTGCGAGGCGGGCTAAAATATCGGTGGTGAGTGGGGCGTTCGAGGATAGTACCAAGGAAGGACTCACCACAGCAGAATATGAACAGAGGAATACATACTTGGTGCGGCATGCGTATTGACGACAACAACAGCCCGAACAACATTAACAGGAGGAGAAGGTACAGGCAAGCAAAGGCCGCCGCCGCTGGCAGATACTCGCGATTGAAGTTTTCCGAGGACCGCATATCCTCGGTCGCGGTCAAGACATTCTTCGTGACGACGGTGATGGGGGAAGAAGGCATGCAGCACTAGCTGTGCGACACCTCGACCCAGGTGTTAAGTACGTCTGCGAGGGTGGTCGATCGTAAGCCACCCACCATTCGCGGAGGAACAAGGCCTTCAGCCATGCCGTGGGCAGACAGACCGGCGCAGCGCACGCCGGTGCTTCGATAGGCGCTCAACCCGTGCTTCTCAATATAGCGCAGTGGATGCTAAGATCCCTGCCGCTCGGCGACGACGGGAGGTCATCAGTGGCGTCCATGAGGTTGTTCTTATGCGGTGCATAACCGCGACTTCGAGAAGACAGGGCCGACCGAGGGCGGGAACACGGTCAGGAAGGATCGCTGGTACCTACCTAGCCCCCGGCCTTACATACGTATCGTCTTCCGCCAGCCGCTGCTCCTCTACGCCCGTGGATTAGCGGAGGCCCCGCAGCCTCATTGTTATGAAGTGCCGTGTGCGTATGGTCAAACGAAAATAGCAACGTCCAGGCCGCATGTGTAACACGCGCTATTTAGAGCGACAACAGGTGCTGACTGATACCGATAAGCGGGTTTAGCGCGCAAAGCGACATCCTCACCGTGAGGCAGTCTTGTGTGCGTCGATTACAAGCGCTCTTCGAACAGGGCATAAACACCCGTGATAATCGGTACACGAGCCCTAAGCTAGGCCGTTCCTTCCCTATCGCAATGTGCATGTTGAGACCGGAAGACGGGGTCAGCCCCTCCTTTCCGGCGGAATCGTATTCCAACCACTCACCTTCTGTACCCGACAGGTTCACCGACTATCGGGACTTCAGTACTTATTTCAAGATCGGCAATCATGTTTGTGCACAAGCACTCACGCCCCCGCACAGCGTTCGACACTGAGGCTATCCCTTATCCATGGCTATGGAACAGAGCATCACTGTTCGCGTAGGAGTTCAGCTGCGGACCCGCGATGGGCCCGGCAGCATGTGTGTGTAACATTAAGTAATCTGCAACTTGAAAGGCATCTTTCAATCAAATGAACAGCGGTGGAAGGGCAGAGACATGGAAAACTCACAAGTTACGTCATCTAACTCGTGCATCGATTGCAACTCCACCCTTATACTGGGAGAATCTCACTGATCTCAGAATTTGAGCTGCTACGTTGGACCGCGTGCAGCGCCAAAAGAACCCAAATAACCCCTGCGTGGGGAGACTGGATGTCAATTTTCGCGTCCACTCACGGACCTCAGATAACGACTTCGTATTTACCTGAAGTTCTTGACACACTGGCTTGAACAAGCCTATGATTACCAATGCCTGGGCCTCCGTTTGCATAGCCGAGGAAAGAAGGGGAGAAATTACAGCCGTAGCGCCGAACAACCTAATGACCCACAGCTGTGGAATCCGAGTCGGGCAACACAGGCAAGCAGCATCGCCATCTTGCCGTCTGGAGGTCAATGACGTTGGCATTCCTGTACTTTGCGGCGAGGTCCTTCACTGTGGCTCGTTTTGTGCTCGCAATCGTTTGGCGGCAACGTCACGGCATACGCATACTTATGACGAGGACCAGGACCAGGACCTGAGCGTAAACCTCCACTAAGGATTCGTCCTTGTCCTTGAGGTAGCAGAATGCGAAGTTAAGTTAGTGAACGCTGCACTCTGTCGTAATTAATAATGTCCCATTCAACGTATCGATTTCCATCGATTTCACCGGCTGTATCCGGACGGGGTACAAAAGAAAAGCTGGGGGTAGACACTGGAGGAGTAGACGTTTTAGACCCGATGGAAGGTACATTGTCGACGTCGTCCCTCACGTAGGCCGCGGCGCCCACGTGAATGGGCAATGATCAAACATACTTACCCTCGCCCCACCGCCAGGAGTACTGCGTTGGCCTAAGCCTACCCCATCGCAAAAACCCTGCGAATCTGCTGCGTGAAATCATAGGTGCTTCTCTTGATGCTTTGCTGCTCGATGTTTTGATACTCTCCGCAAATATGGCAATTATACTGTCGCTGGTTTGTGTTGATTTGCGTTGATACCAGGCTCTCCCGCACTTCAGCAAGCTTGAGCGCCCATTCAAGCCCCAGTTGCGCTGCATCTTCGACGCCAATCGGTTCACTTCGTCTAGCAATCTCGTTGAGGGAGGGCACGATCCACTCCTCGACATTGTAAGTCTTCGCCAACACAACCTTACTAACGGCCTCCATCGGGATCACCGATAGCGTTCGGATGGCGAGCGACCGTATATGATCGAACTGCCACATGGTGGACAATTTGAGCACAGACACCCATTGGCCGCAAGAAAGTACCGGATCTTGTCCAGGCAGCCTGGGACGTGAATGTTATTAATCAAGGTCAAGGGGCGAAATTGACACTATCCGGGACACACGTACGACTGGAACAAGACGTCGAGCAGCTGTTCGAAGTCGTTTAGTTCGATACCTTCGAGACGGATGGGGTTGTCGTCACCAACGCCTTCGGCATCTGTCCCCTCGGGAACCGGGTTTTCAAACATGTCCCGGAAAACGATCGAGTTTCGTTCGAGAGTCTGCCTAGGCACAGAAAACAAAACGTCCTCGACCTTCCGCAAGGTCAACTCCAACACATTGTCCGTTAACAATAGGGCTCACCTGGAACACGACATTGGCGAAGTAGAATTTCCTGTGATGATGCGGTTGTTTGTTCTTGGGGCATTCAATTTTTGGGAGTTCATCCCACGGGTCATCGCTCGATGTATCCTCCAATATCTGGGGTTGAATGCCGTTGAAGGGTTTGGATTTGACCATCGATGATCAGCTTCAAGATTTGAGCGGAGGACGCATTCATGGATGAATACTGTTGGACACGCGCTTTCTTCATGGTGAAAGAAGTTTGGCCATGATCTGTGCAGTCCGTTCGCACGCCGAAGAGCCTCTAGGAAAATGCAACAATGGAGCACTCGACTTTCCGAAAGTTGTCGCGCTGACTTCTTGAAGAGATGAACAATGAAGGGAGAAAGACGCGGTCACATGTTGCCAGCGTGATGCCTACGATGTGCATATACGATCTTTCGCCGACGACATCAACCACTCGTTAGGGCGTTGACAAGATTTGAACTTGGTATCGTGTTGATGATATGCAGGCAGTGTTTGCACGATCCCGCTAGGTGCCTGCGCAGACGATGCATGGGAATGCTTTTCATGGACTGCTGTTTGCAAGACGTGAAGTTAGACCTATATGCGGCGATTGACCAAAGACAGGAACTCACCACGCCAACCTTGACGATGGTCAACAAGGGAGACAAACGCAGAAAGAAAGTCTCAAGGTCAATATCACGAAGGAGCTCCCAAGAAGATCATCATCCCAAAATCTATGAATACACACACCAACGATGATAATACAGCTAGCTCATGCAAGTCTCGTGCAGAAGGTCTTCAATACCGCGTCGAGTCCTGTAACCTCCATCGCCTGAGCGGGCCCCACCACCACATCGACTGTCTCCGTTCGCGCTCCTCTCTCCTCTCCGCGCTCTCCTCCCTCTCCCCCGGCGCCCTCATCTCGATCTCGATCTCCACGTGGCCCCTCTCCCCATCCGCCTGTTTTGGCGTCGGGCCCCAGCCAGCCGGTGGCGGATATCCATACGCCTGGTGTAACCGCGGCGCCTCCGCCTCCGCGCGTCTCCGTACAGCGAGCATATGCGCGCGCCGCCAACGCGCGCACCATGCGTCGAACGGCCACGCGCGTCGCGCTGGTAGCTTCTCCTCGTCCGTGGAGGATGACGCGAGGGTAGGCACAGACGACGCCGACGCCGTCCGATGCACCCCCGGTCTCGGCGGCGTCGCCCCGCGTTTTATCGCGCCAGACCCGAGTTGCGTATCCACTCCACTCGCGACGGCGCTCACGTCGACCTCGCCGGACGGGCCCGACGACGTGCTGTGGCTTCTCCCGATGTGGACGTGCCCGCGCCACGCGAGCCTGTCGCCGACGCCGCGTATCACCCTCGCCGCCCTCTCGCGCTGGCGCCTTGCGCGCTCGCCGCGCTTGCGCCTCCTGTCCCGCCTGCGCTCCTCGCGCTCGACCATATCCTGCACCTCGCCTCCCATGCCGGCGCCGACCCACCACCACCAGCCCATGAACGTCTGCCACATGATGACCGCCCAGATGAGGCCTTGCATCCACGTGTACTGGTCCTGACTCGGGATGTAGAGGAAGGTGAGGAAGGTGGAAAGGACGGCGAGGGTGAGCGCGGCGGCGCCGAAGGCGGCGGTGCCGCCGTCCGTGCGCCAGGCCTGGGAACGATTGACGAGCAACCCGTAGAGGAAGAGCGAGGCGGTGAAGAGGAGGGAGAGTGTTGCGTTGCAGACGTTGGAGACGGAGGCGGCCATGCCCGCCACGGGCGCGGAGTCGATGATGGGAAGAACTTCCATCACGGCGGAGGTGAGCGCGAGCGGGGCTAGGAGGCCGAGGATGAGCCGCTTTTCAAGGTCGGACGGGTAGAGGAGGGTGAGGAACTGAATGTGCGTAATTTGGATGAGGCCCGAGGTGGTGGCGTCCATGATGTACCAGGCCGCAAGCTCGCTCTTCGGCCAGAGCGGGTCTGTGAGATTCGGGTCTAAGGGTGGTAGATCGACGGCGATGTAGGAGAGCATGTAGGGCCATTTCTTGGATTCGGTGATCGTACTCTGGCAGACGACGCGGAGGCAGGCAATGAGGCTGATGAGGAGCGAGAGGACGGAGGCGAGTTGAAGGACGTAGTTGATCGGTGCAAGGTGCCAGTGGTATTGACAGGTGAAGAGGAGATGGGCGAAGAGCACGGCGACGAGGGCAAAGATGATGCCGGTGATGAGGATCTGTACCGGCAGGGATTCGATGAAGGGCGGGCGGTAGCGGAGCATGGGGTCAGAGGCCCAGGTTCTGTGGGATGACGAGGACGATCAGTATTTGCGGCAGAGGTAGATGGGGGTATAAAGGAGAGAGATGAAAGACTGAATGGGGATGGCAACGTACACATCACTATCGTCCGTCGTGTTTTCCGCGAGCGCGGCGAGTGCGAACAGGAAAGGCGTCAGAATCATGCGTGCCCACATCGTGATAATATGAAGTTCGCGCCAAGGTCGCCAAGAGAGCAGGTAAATAGCCGTGACGGCAGCGGGTCCAGGGTAAACGGGGCAAGCTCTACGCCACCGTCCTCAGCGCATGCGGTCTCCTGGAGGAAATATTCGATATTTCTGCTCGATGGAGGGCGGGAGGGCGCTGGAGGGCGTCGGGGTCGGGAGGCAAGGTGCGCTCATCACCGAGAATAGTGACCGGCCAACTTGCCCTATCTGGACGTCCCCGCTACAGCCTCTGCCCGAAGAGGAAGGAGCCCCTGTTATTTCCGCGCTCCCAGGCCTGTCAAGCTCACGTGGCGGGCCAGAACGACCTGCCTAATGCGGAGGTGATACCCCGGTGCCTTTGGTTTCTGGAAGGGTGCGCGCTTGAGGAGCTCCTCGGACTTTTCTCTTGTTCGAGTCTCTCGCTCGTCCCCCCACGCCCACGTCGTGCCCGACGACGTCCAGCGCCTTATCCTGCCACATTTCACCATAGTATCATACACCTAGCGACACCCCCGACCACAACGGCCATGGAACAAGAACCGAGTCCCGTGCCCGTCGCGGATGCACACGTCGACTCATCCGCAGCCGCCCCCGAGCTCGCGCACGCGCCAGAGGATAAGCAACAACAGGCCGAGAATGTGCCGCACGTTGAGCTCTCGCGCCCCGACGGCGAGTCCGCGAACGCGAACTCGGACGCTCAGGCGGAGGATGCGACCGCCACGCACGCGCTCGACGCCCATCTCGATCTCGCCGCGCCGATCTCCGAGCGCACAGCTGAACACGCGGCATTCATTGAGAGAGTGAGTTTCTGCTCCCCTCTCTTTCTCTTTCTCCAGCACGGAGGTTTGTCGACGCCAGCCCCCACCTTGGGACACTCCGGATGAGATACCGCCGCGCAGCCCCCGCGGCGAACGCTGGCCGTGATGGCAACAATCCTCTGCCTCCATTCATTCTTTCCTTCCATCATTGCAAGAACAAAGCATAGCTGACGCGACATGTTCGTTCTCAGCTGTTCTCAAAGGTAGAGGCGGAGAGCGAGCGTCGAGCAGAAGAGGAGGGCCGCGCGTCTCGCCTCGCCGTCTCCCCAACGCCCTCGCTGCCGGCTCCCCGACCCGCCGCCAACCGCCGGCGCGGCGGAAGCGTGTCCATTTCGCGTCTTGGCGAGGTCAGTCGCCTTGTATATCCTGTGTAAATGCTGTATCACTAACTATATGCGCCCTCATTCACACAGGCTATCATGCCCGAGAACGGATCCGAGCCCAGCGTACCGCCTACGCCATCCCGCCTCTCGACGATCATCATGCAATCGCCCATTTATCAAAAACAACTCGCCGTACGTCTCACCTTCCTGTCTCCGATCCGCTCGTTTATTTTTCTCACGCCCTTCGCGCCGCTAGGCCGCTAGCGCCACGACGATCTCATCCGCCGCCTCCACCAATTCTCTTCCGCACGAAGAACCCGCGCCGCGCCATGCAGACGGGCGCTCCCGCTCGCCCTCCCCGACGCCGAGCACCGCGCCTCTGCACGACTCGATAACGCAGTACGCGATCCCCGCCAAACCGTCGCTCCCGCGCGCCGTCGCCCGCCGCCTCTCTCGCGCCCGCTCGCGCTCGAAGGAGCTCCTCGCGAGCCCTTGCCCCGACACTGGTGCGGTCGTCGTCGGCGTGCAGGTGCAGACGCAGACGAGGTCGAGGGCCGGGAGCAAGAGCATCAGCCGGCCCGGGACGGCGTCGGGACTTATTCCACCTGCGCAGACGGCGGGAGGGAGCCGCCCCGGCACGTCCTCGGGGCTGACGTCGTCCACCTCGCCCACCCTTGCGGAGGCACCGCCTTCGCCGAAGGACCAAGTGCTGGTGCCGAAGGACGTGGATCAAATGCCCGATGCCCTGCCCGCGGAAGAACGCAGAAACGTCGGCGAGGAAGACATTGAGGAGGAAGAGGAGGAAGACGATCTGCCTCACGGTACGACCGCGACCGTGCACGTCGACAGGCCCGCGCGTAAACCGCGGCATAGGTTCATCGTATTGAGCGACAACTGGGTCGCGAAGGCGAAGGCGTTCACGCTCCGGTTCAGGCGAAAGGGAAGGGCGACGGTCGTCATTGTTGATGCGGCGGCGTAATCAACCTGCGTCGATGAACAAGAGAAGACGTTTCCGTCCTGCGTTACAGGCTCAGCAAAATCCACATTCTCGTTTCTTGGGCTTTTCACTGTTGGTCTCTCGTCGGTATCCCTGGCTCATCACTTATCACTGTTCAAATATCTCTCTCCGGCTCATACACACTCGCTTCCGCACACGGACCGACCCGATTCGCTCGTTCACGGCGTCTCATCCTCAGCAGCAAAACCTTTATCTGTTTCATATCACACTCAACCCACCGAACATCCTAACACACCTCATTCTAACCTCTTTCGGTCTTCGGGCACACAAATGACGGACTTCCCCAGGATTGTCTGTTTGTCTCTCTCACAACCCAGGGTTTTTCGGTATATATCTCGATGTTTTGGCAAGGGCGTTATCGTTTCCCTTGTGTCTCCCTAGGATCCTCTCCCTTATCGTAGGACATAAACGTAACATCCCGCCCCTCACCACGCGTTTTCTTTACATTATCTCCTACGTTATTCGCTTGTTCTGGCCTTGGCATGGTTCGGACCCCGTACGCTCGTTAGCTTGTTATATATTGACTACGTTTGCGTTCATGGCAATTTGTGAAACGATGCCCTGCGAGCTGGCGCATACTTACGGACGACGCGATGGGCATGCATAGAATTGGGTATTACCAGCGAGGTTCCCATATTCGAATTGGGGTTTAGCCGAAACTTGTAAGGTAGACCTCATGCGCGTCCGACCCCATAGCACGCGACACGCGTGACATTAGACGTAATAGGTGCAAAAATTTAAATAACTCTCAATTAGACTAGCTCTCACCGAAAGTGTTACCGGCATTTTATAGATGTCTCCTGTACATAGATAGGACCGTTGACAGTTACTGATGAGAGTGCGAACTGCGAAAGGAGAGAAGGATAGCTGGGGTGTGAGGCATGACTGTGACACAGTGTGACCAATCCCTGAACCTCATTGAGGCGCGCTGGCGCTGCAAGACAGTTGGGTAACTGGAGGCATGGAAACTAGTAGACATCATATTGAGTACGGTAAGATGGATATACTGTTGGCAACATACATTTTCTCTGTTCTCCTCCGTGCTGATAGCTCCAACGTGGCGGCAACAAGGTTGTGCGTACTGGCCGAGGTTACACTTGCGCAAACGGCCCTAGGGCATAACGTCGTGATCCCCGACGTGCCACAGAGCTCATTGGATGCCAGATAGTCAATACAGCGGAGCCAGTTTCGTGACGGCGGCGGAAAGGAGAAACCTCCAAGTTGCACGGCTTGGCACTGAGGGCAGTCCATCACATGCCTCGGTCTTGTTTTCATCTCTCCTCCCGAGGATCTTATTCTTGAGTTTCGAAAGCAGCAGTCAAACTTCGGCACAGTACATTATTGTAGAACCCCAGTTGCATCTCGAACGAAAGCTACTCAGACCGGGAGACAATCAACTTTTCGCTCGTATTACGTCTAATGTCACGCATGTCGCGTGCTATGGGGTTGGACGCGCATGAGGTCTACCTTACAGCCGTTTTCAAAAATCATGAGCGCGGCACCAGAAACGAGACGCGCGTCGTGAATGACCCCAAAGCTGGGTTTGCCGCCAGTTCGACGACGAACTCTACGATGATGCGCCCTAGGATAGCATGGAAATGATCAAAATACGCGTGAGGAGCTCAGAGGATGATTCTGAGGAGTGGTAAACATGATATTCAAAGGAATTAACAAGCAATTTCCCAGTAGCAAGCAAGGATAGTGTTAGCGAATGTAAACCATGATTATGGACGCTACATCCAGCAAATCTGGACACAGTCCAGCCTCTGTGTGATCAAATATGTGTCCCAGGAGTCTACCGATGTTTTTGACAACGAGATGTTTGGGAACTCATCGTCGACTCGTCATTGGGGAGCATTGGGTAAGACCCTTATATTAGGGTTACTGCCAGCAGCAGCATGGCTCACTGAGGGGCAACCATTGTACAAGTGTACTGCTCCAAATCAAGGTGTAGCCCGCTATCAAGAAGATCCCATAGGCGAGTGGAAGTTGACAGAATGGGTGAAAGACAATCCGCCGGGAGCATCAAGTTGAGGGAACCAGAAACCGCCAGAAACATTGCACATCGTATCTCGATGTAACGGAGTACTCCGTAGCTTAGCCGTAGGGTAAACTTAGAATGGTCGCGGCTCCGCCGCGACTGAGAAATCACAATGTTGACGCGCCCGTTGGGCGCCATATGGTCAAACCTTGCGTGCTTACCTCTACTCCCCGGGCGCCTGATATCTGAGATATGATTATCTCTGATATCTATGGCGTCTCGACTATAAAAACTCGATTGCACGCCTGTATCTACATTCATTCTTGCTATACTACCGGATCCTGCTCTGTTGCCTGCGAGGCGCGTCGTGACACCGCCACCGCCCGCCTCGCCCCCTTACGCTTAACTTACACTTTTTTGAGCACCCTAAGAGGTTAGTACAATGCCTGTAGATACAGTAACCGACGCTACGCTACCGCGTACGTTGAGAAGTGGGACGATCCTACCGGACATCCGAGTAGAGGGCAGACTGCCCAGAGATCGGCGCCAGGCGCCGAAGAGTACCGTAGATACTACAGCAAATGAGAATGATCTGAATGATGACATCAGATC